GCTTGTTCTAATACGTGGCAGGTTCTTTAAGATTTTATCTCTGATTAATCTATTGTTCTGCCTTTCATAATACATAAATACATATACATATCCGGGATATCACGTTGACAGCAACGGTGACAGCAAAATCAACCAAGAGAGTCCATATAATTGCTCTTGCAATAAAACATTCGACGTCACAGTTTACAATCTGCGCGCTACAAGCGGCCCACCTACGCATTCAAAATCAACATACGACTGCCAACTGCCGTTACGATTCTTGACCACGTTTTGTAGAATTCTAGCCCGGCGATCCTGTTCAGGTGTGGGTGCCGATACATCGATGTTCACTCAGTGAAAACTCCTTCCACTGAAGCTTCTCACATGGGCTAAAGTCGTCCCTGTTTTGCGCCTTAGGTAATGCTATATACTCTTTAGCAAACTGTAGGACTTCACTACGTTTATTATTCTCAAATACTTGTGTATACGCTTGTTCACCTTCCGTTGTTTTCTCAAAAACATCGGGATGAGGAATTTTTTAGAAGGCGCAATGCCAAAGGTGCTCCTTCTGTTTTATGTAACATCCAATACACATGAAACTGCTGCCTTGCGCAAAACGCGCCTGATTGACTAAGAAACCTTCAGATTATCTTAGCAATGAAGTTACGCACACAAACTGCACATGAGAGCTTTTTTCTGAAACTTACGTAGCCATTAGCGACAATGCTGGAATATTGAGTGAAATACTTGAAATTATCTATTTAATATATATATATTGTACATCAGGGTCGAAGCATTACAGAGGGGACTGTTTAAAAGCAGTATTAGACAAAAACAAAGAACAACAACAAAACATGCATATGTGAAAAATAATTAGTTACTAATGGTAAAAACTACCCAAATGAGTAATAATTTGTAAAGTCTCTGATGAGAGCAGGACGGTGGTCCCAATCGTAGCAAGTCCTAGAAAAAAATGATTATGGAAAGTGGATGTCCTGTAAAAAGCAACTGGAACCTCACGTTGATGTTCAATGCGTGATGATACATATAGAGCAGGTGAGATGAATTCATCGCATAGATAATGATGATGAAATAAGCAGTGAAAGGGACAATGACGGAAAATTCTACGGCGCGACGATAACGATGGTAGCTGAAGCATGACCGTGCTGCTAGTAGCACTTGCGGTTCGTATAGTTGGACATGATGAATTGTGTTCAATTGTTCCGAATAATTCCAAGTGTATAAATAGGATTATCATTGGATTGGTCCCAAACTGAGGTGGCGTATTTGAAGTTAGAGCGAATGAGTGTTCTATACAATAAAACTGATAGCCGGAGGAGCACGGGGAGTTCTTCTATTGGAACTAATTGTTTTGTTGCGCTATTGACTGGGGATTCAATGTGGTCATTCCGCGTTAGTTTCGACGATATATTTGCAGAAAGATATATGTAGGTTGATGCTACTTCCAGCGAAAAGCTCTGAAGAGTAGATGAAACGGCGAAGTTAGGTGATTGAGTTATGCGGATGACCTTGCCTTTTTTAGCGTTTAAGTCCATGTATCAATTTTTGCATCATAGGGATACTGCGCCCAATTGTGTTTGTAAATTATTGAAGCCGTGAGGTATCCTTATTTCTTGAAATATTGCACAGTTATCGGCGAAGAAGTTGATACGGGATGAGACACAAGAAGCTATATCATTATTGTAACTGAAAAAATGAAGAGAATTAGTAGCGATCCTTGTGGCATACTTAAAAAGAGGAGGTGCAAGAGAGTCAGTATATTTAGCAGAGGTGAACTGGAAACGACTTGAATAATATATTTCAAGCTATGCCATCGTTTAGAATACAAATTTAGTCATTTTAATTTAAAAAAAACAGGTATGGGACACTTTGTCAAAGGCTTTCAAAATTTTAAAACATTCAGCCTGTTGAAGATTACTAATGAAAGGCTGCGTGAAGATAGTGAGTAAAAGATACAAGTTGCGTTTCGCACAAGAATGTCTTGCAGAAATCGTGTTCTGGCAACAAAAAAAAAGAATCATATTCAAGAATGTATACAAGATTCGAAACCTAAATTAGCCCTATCACTCTGCTTCGTATTCTAGTAAGAGAAATGGGGCAATACCTTAGAGAAGCATATTGTTAATTGACTTGTGTGGCGGAACCACTTTCGCCATCTTTCAGTAAGTGGGAAGAGAGCTGTTGACAATGTATTACTGAAAATATTTTGTTGAAGTTATTAATGAATACATGATGCGTCTATTAAAAAACACGGAGTAATGAAATTTAACCCAGTAGAGGAGGGTGCTTTTTGAGTTCTGTAGCTTTGATCACTTCATCGTAATCAATGGTATGAGAGACATCAAAATGAAATCAGAATGTGTAATATGAGAAGTGATTGTTCAGTATATTTTGAAAAGATTTGCACAAAGACTTCATTTAACCCAATTGCGTACTGCACATCAGGTGAGAATATTTTTATAGAATCAGCAAAAAGTTTTTTGTTTTATCACATGGTTGAATGAACACGCGCCCGATTCTTCAAGGATTTGACGTTAGCTAAAAGACAGCGTGTTTTAGCGCTTGTGAGCTTCTCCTTCAACGATGGCAGACGCTCGCTTCGCCGCTCTTAGTATACAGTGTGTACTGCTGTATAATTTATTCTATTTTCTGACCACAAGATTTCAGTTTAGAAAAGCGGACTTCTTCTTCAGCCACGTTATCACCCCATGGCAATAATTTGGAGGAAATTCATAATAAATCTTTTATAGGTGCAGGGGGATATATGCAATAACGTATTTTTTTCTTACCTAATGCATAAAAGTATCAAAGATAGAAAACAGTTCCCTATATTCGACGTTTCAAGGCATGATTGAGTCGTATACCAATATTACTTACAATATTGTGTAGGATATACTAAAAGTATTTGGCAGAGGCGATGACTGTACACAGCTTTTGAGGAAGGTATAGCCAGAAAGCATTGTTTTCATAGAGGGACAAATATTAAGCAACAAAGAGAATGCTAAAATTATTAAGGGGCTCTGACAGGCTTTGTTTCGTGCTCGAAGTGATTCTTACTGTAAAATGACCTGATTAAAAAGTTCTAAACAAAAGCAACATTGGTAATATAGTCGCATGTTTACATAAAATTCATGCATACCAAGTTATCTCAAGAAGAGTGGCCAGAACTCTGCGGCTGGCATCACTCAAACCTGTCAAGGCCACATGTAGAAGCATTTGAAGGAAGCTTGCCGACGACAGTCTACCATATCATTTGTCCTTTCTAGTAGCCTTAACAAAGTTTTATAAACAGTGTTATATAGTGGTGAATTGGATCTTGTGTTCAAATTAGTGCCATGAAACTGCATTTATTCTTGTGGGCAGAAAAGCACAGCCTAAGCCGTGAGAAAACGTTTTTTTATTCATTGTACCAGCGCAATCGCTATGATCAAGCCCCCTCAAAAGATTTAGGGAAAGCCTCGTAAGGCGTTGCATGGCGGCGTTTGAAAGTATGCTATTTAAAACCTTAGGCTTCTCTATATGCTGAATTGTATAAAAACGTCTTACGTTTCGTAGCGCATAAATGTTCGCAAAACGTAGAATGCTACTGAAGAAAACTGCTTTGGTCCCTGGAGTTGTTTGAGCTCTTAAACTAGTCTATTGTTGATAAGGTTCACCAGATAATATGAACAAATCACAATCAACTGGTTTACCTCTAGCCTTACTTTGTATCACAGTACAAATTCTCGCGATCATATTCGTTGGAACGCCGGTAGGCAAAAATGGGATAATGGTGAAACTGGTTAGACCTAAACTACAGGCCTGCTCCTAAAAATACAGTCATGACTTTCAATGAATCAGTATACAAAACTTTTGGCGAAAAAGTGACATTTCACAAAATTTGGAACATAAATGTTTGAAAGAAATGAGTGAATAAATAAATGACCAAGTTTCAAGGCTTTGAAGGTCGAGTAGCGAAAAGAAACCAGAGGAGTTTTTTCATGTGAACCGAAAAAGCTTTTTAAACATTTATTACGAAAAGTAAAGGTATTTTAAAGTACTGGCGCCTGAACAAAATGTTAACTGAGATAGCTCACAGTTATCTGTTTCATATTCAAGCACGTGACCTTTTTTTTTGCTTGTCAGGTATGGTGCCTCTCTGTATGTTTTGACGAGTGTGCGACCTGAACGCTGTTTGGGCCACATTTTGCGGCGCCAAACGGAAATAGCAACCATGTATAAACCCTACTCTTTGCGCACAGTACTACAGTTAAAATAAGCTTGTGCGCCTGTTTTACTATCTGATCGGACAGATGAACAGAAGTCACACACCACACGCAAAAACAAGTGTTCTATTAGTACACGCTGAATGAGCCACCGTGTACTTTAACTAGATTTGATTGCGCCGTACATTCATACAAAGCTTGCCATTTTGTCCCTACTCCCTACTCTTTGCGCACAGTACTACAGTTAAAATAAGCTTGTGCGCCTGTTTTACCATCTGGTCAGACAGATGAACAGAAGTCACACACCACACGCAAAAAACAAGTGTCCTAATAGTACACGCTGAACGAGCCACCGTGTACTTTAACTAGATTTGATTGCGCCGTACATTCATACACACCTTGCCATTTTGTCACAGACACTTTACCTGTGACAAAAAACCGCGAGAGTTATTCTTTTATTCCGCGCTTATTGTCACCTCAAAATTTGGTAATGAGCAAAATGCAAGGATTGCGATTTATCAATGTCTTCAACATCATCAAGCCTGTTTTTCATTATAAGCTGCTTAAACAAGCTCATAAAAAGGTGAATTACAAAGTTTTGCCAATTATCACTTACACTAAAATGTCAGTAGTGGCAAAGCAGGGTCATCTGTTTACAGCGTACGTCACGTCGCTGAATATGCTGGCACTTTACAGTTAGGGTATTCTTATATAAATTAGCAGAATAAAAGATAGAATACACCGAGTGTATCTTCACCTTTTTACTTTTTTCATGCAATACCAACTCTTTTGCAGCATGGAAGATTGTGAGATCGCTTGTGACCGGCTGTGCATCATGGTTAAGGGCGAAATGGTTTGCTTGGGAACACTGCAGCATCTGAAGGATAAGTTTGGAAAAGGCTGCAACGTTAAACTCTTTCCCTGCGACTCGCCAAAGGCACGCCCACAAGAAATATTAGAAGCTGCTGGGAAACTATTTCCAGGCATGAAGATCCTGAACAATACACAGGTAAGTGCTTGTATTGCTTTGTTCTGCCTATTGTACAACTGAAGAGCTGATACGCCAAGTCTGGCGAAAGGCCCTCTCGACTACCTCAACGGCCTGCTGGTTCAAGAAGCAGGGTAGGTATTCATTTCACTAGGTGCGTGGGTAGTCAGTAAAAAAAGTCAATGCTAGTGGGGTTAATTTTCTTCTGACAAAATTCCCGGGACGCTTCCAAAAAGTTGTCACTTTTAGCCAAATGTCGCTAAACTCTAATGATGATCATAATTTTTTCCTCATTTTTTAGTATTTCTTTTGATATATCACGCGAATAAAATATTGTTATTGAAACAATATTGTGTATAAATTTCTTTGGTGGCGAATGAAGGTATCCTGCGCAGCTGCCTCCAGGCTACGCTACTTTGACCTGGTGAGCAGCTGTAGCCCACCTGTGCGCCGTGAACACTGAGGCGTTACTCTAACTGAAACAGAAGGACCACTGGCCAATGCTACTGTAAATTTGCGTTTCTCTGGTGACTAAACATCAGTACGCAAGTGAGCGGACTTAAGCTTCATAGAACTGTTATGTACATAGGGTCATGTGTAAATAAACTGTTTGGAACTCATTCACACTCACTCGCGAAGTTCATTCCCCCTTGGGGCTCACTCGGACCAAAGTCACAAAAACTTTCCTCGATGGGACTGACTCGCACTCTAACACAGCTAATATTACTCACGTGAACTCACTTAAACTCGGACTCGCAGATCACTCTGAGCCTCAGTGAGCCGGAATGAGTAAACATGAGTGTGCTTGTGGACCTATTATTAGGTGTTCTTGCTAAAGTACGTAAGGTTTTAGGAACAATTCTTTTGTTTGTTTGTTTTTTTTTGAAAAACGAGGAACTTATCAGAGATAAAAGTGTCAAGCCAATAATAAAATTAGCCACTTAAGCTTTGGCATCGTCTTCAGATGTCATAATGCAAGAAAACTGGGGTACATGCTACAAAAAGAGGGATTAAGAATAATTTGGAATAGTGTGCACAATGTCGTTCGTTCAGCGTAAATCAAAATGGAATGTTTCGCGTCGTACGACGTTGCAATTAGGGCGGATGTGATTAATGGCAAGATTTTGTTGGAATGGTCTATGTTCAATTCACATGAATATTTTCTAAGCACATTGATGACATTTTGTTCGTGATGATTAACTAGACCACTTTTCTGCAAATTGCAAAGAACATTGGCAGGCTCTAAACATCAAAAAACGCAAACTTTTCTCACTACGGTGGGGTGAAGTTCTTAGCATTTCAGAGTGTCACCACTGGCCTACATTCGTCGTTAAAAAATCTGGCTTGGTGAGAAAAAATACATACATAGCGAGTTCCGACAAGTTGCAGCATCATTATTTTCAAATGGCAAGCGAAGAAGTCAGTGCAAAAGCCAAACGATGCATTATCAATCAGCAGACTTTGCACACAATAGTCACCTTTGGTTCATTAAGCCCAATGTTTATTTAAATACATATAGGATCTAGTATATTACGTACAAACACTGCGATATGATCATGTGAGGTACCGTTATGCAGGACTCCGGGAATAGTGACCACCAGGTGTACTTGAACATACGCTGGCATTGCAGACTTGCCTCTCTATCATTGCACCTTCACCTGAATGTGGGATGTTTAGTAGTGTTAACTTCTATAAACCAAAATAATGCAGGGGAGCTTTCAAAGAGGCATACATTGCGACATGAGGTGACTTGGTGAATGGAGCAAACATTCACATGTTACCAGAAAAACTGCAGAACTATGAAGTAGGCCAGGTGTGCTTTTCTGGAAATCACTGTTGCTATGCATTCAGTCGCTCCCGGCGTTCTGATAAGCATGTTTCACAGCTTAGTAAGCAAGACGCTCTAACGCTTTACAGGAGATCAGACAATGCCTATGCGTCTGCTGAAATTCGCTTCGATGCGACCTCCCAAAGTGTGCGCTGGTGTACTAGGCAGAACATGGACACGCTTCGCCGTGTTCCTACTGAGATAACAACACTGTACAATAGTCATAAATATTTAGGTGTTTTTGCCAAAGCATTGCCACATCGTTTTTTTGTGTACAATTGTCTTATTATAGGTTCGGCGATATTTCTTTTTCGGAAGTTTCTTTCAGTGATAATGTGCTAGTAATCGTGAGCGGATGGTTAGTTCAGTGTAGGACTGCATCATGGTTATGCAATTTTTCTTTTGCATTGCTTTACTGCTGTGATGCCCCCTCCCCTACTGAACTGACACCCCCAAGAGATCCTGTATGGTAAAGTGAAATAAACGAAATAAGTATTTTACAGATGCTTTGTCTCTACCTTACAGGGTTTGTTCTTTGTCTTTCGCAGGAACAGATCGAAATCCGCACTCGTGACAAGCTTCCGTGGAGCGTCCTTTTTCGCAAGCTTGAAACTTTGGACAGAGTTGCCGGTTGCAAAGGCACTCTTGCTTCAGATACCACCTTGGAGCAGTTATTTATTGAGTTTGCGGAGAAAGAACATACTCAAAGTACCTTAGTTCTGAATAGATCACCAGTAGCATCACCATAAGCAGCTACAGTGTTACCGGCATCAGAGTGAACCTATGCACGTAAACTTCGTTCTTAGCATCTGGAAGCCATCAGCAATTACGTTGCTCTGACCAGTTGAACAAATACTAATATATGCAAATAAATATATTTGGAATAGCTCAAGTATTTTTGTACGGAAACTCTATTCAACTTTATAAATAGTAAGCGTGCTTCAGACGTATGTGCGTGTTTCGCGATAAACAGTGGTGGATGTATGCGCAAAGCAGACACACTGCCTGAATAAATGCCCCATTGAGAGGTTTTTAAACGAGAAACATTTTTTACATAATGCAGGCACATCGAACATCTATCTATCTATCTATCTATCTATCTATCTATCTATCTATCTATCTATCTATCTATCTATCTATCTATCTATCTATCTATCTATCTATCTATCTATATACAGCTGGGTGCTTTCCTGATCACCTCCGTAATTTTTTAAGGCCACGAAATAAATTCTGGCTGTACTTTAACGCTACAGCGTTAAAGAGCTCGTTTCGCAAATATTGTGGTGATGACCTTAGCGTCGTTGACGTCACCATCGTTGCTGGTCAGCGTTAATTCATCATCTCTACGTGACCAAAAAAGTAGGAAGATCAAATAGAAATCGATAAAATATTTTGGTTCTGCACGGGGGCCGAACCTGGTACATTGCACAGACATTATATAGGGGAGTCGTTATACTAAGGAATGAAGCGTTCCAATTACACACTAACAGAATAAGATTGCACAATATGTAGAAAAGTTTAGTATCAATAACACAACAAGTAGCTTAACAATTTTATACATTGACATTTGCGGAGGACCACAAAGGAAAGAAATAGTTGTAATGCATTGAAGCAGTGAAAAGTAAAATACCGCCATACGCCATGTAAAATGACACACAATAAAGGTTTAAAAAAGAGAAAACTCTGGTGTCTTGTGGTTTAAGCATGTAAAGCATGCTTAAATAAATAAGAGTCACTAGTTAAATTCGTTGTGCAGGAAGACAATTTCAATGTTTTTGTAGGGGTAATATGAATGAATTGAAAAATGCGTGAATTTTACATGGTGAAGCTCCGACTCCTTGTATATGGTCCCGTCAATTGGAAACGTACTGCGAAGGACTGATTAGTTCGCTATGCGATTGTGGATGATGGTAAAACTTATAAAAAGAACTAGACGGTGAGGTTTTATCGAGATGCAAGAATCAATAAAATAGGATCATCGTTGCTGTTCCGCTGGCAGTGCGATTGTACTGAGAACAATTAAAAGAAATAGAATTGTTCTGAATCATTTCTAGTGCATATGAAATATTTTCATAAAAGGGATCTTATACTGATGCAGCATATTCATGTTTAGACCTTATTAGTGTTTTGCATAAGAGAAGCTCTATGGAAGACGGTATACTTGAAAATATTCGACAAATGCAACCTAGCTTGATATTTCTTATTAATAATCTGTGTGATATAAAGATTTCAGGTTATGTTCGACAATATATGCACACATAGATATTTGTACAGTGACACAGGTTCTGATAGTTTACTTTTGTGTCTGTGAACAGAATGAATTGTTTTCAATCAGGTTACTCGCATAAATTTACGTTTATGTAAGCTCATTTCCCTTTGCCAGTTTTTTCACCACAAGGAAACTGCATGAACGTCATATTGCAGAAGAAGTATACCATTGTCACAAGCTAGTTTCTTAAAGATAGCGCAATGGTTTGCAAAAAGGGGAATATTTGAGGAAACACCAGAAGGTAAGTTTTTCATGTAAATTAGAAAAAGAAGAGGAACAAGCACCAAACCCTCTGAAACACCAAATTTTATAGAGCTATGTCCTGAGTTAGTGTTGCTTGCAGAAATAAATTGAGACTGGTGAGGAGGAAAACATTCAATCCAGGTCAGAAATTTATCGTGAACGTTAAGTAGACTAAGCTTGTATAGAAGTAATTTATGAGAAACTTTCTCGAATGCTTTCGAAAAATTGAGGGAAATTCAGTTGGAAAGTGAAGAGTTGTCTAGAACAATATGCAGTTTATGCAAAAAACACGGTGTGTTTCACAGGAGTAAGTTATACAAAGGCCGTGTCATGATAGTGAAAAGAGCAAGATGAATTAAACAAGATTATGACATCTCAGAACATGATTTGTTCAAGTATTTCGCATGGTTTGCTAGTAAGGAAGATTCGCCGGTAATTAGGAGAGAAATGGCTTTTACCCCATTTAAAGAACGAAATTACCTTTCCCTTTTTCTAGTTTGATACAATAAAACCAGTGCTAAGGGTATGTCTGAATGTCATTGTTAGTAGGACAGATCAATAGGTCAATGTGCTCGTTACAACCTTAGATTCAATTAAATCAGCCAGGCACAGAAAATAGTTTTAAAGACTTAATAAGTTTTATCATGTCGTTGAAGACAATTTTTACGAGAGGCATGGTTTTGTAGTTGTAAATATGCGATGTTGGCACTGTTATGGTTGTTCTACAAGAGAAAATATTTGAAAATACTTCGTTGAAAATTTTACATCATCCATTGCCAGAGATGGCGTTGCCTGAACGATCAGTTAAGGTGCGAAAGTGATCTTTGCTTGGTTTATACATGCAAACTTCTTTGGTTCATCTTAGAGCATCGCTGGCTGGGTGTGCCTTAGAATTATTTTTTCTTTCATTTACTGCGTTGACATATTGCCTTCCTTCTGTCGTGTAATCAGTCGAGCGATGAGTAACGGGTGAAGTCTTAGTGGAGGTCCACATTTGTCAAGAGAGGCTGCCAGCTCTTCGTTCATAGCAGCATAGTTAGCTTTTTTGTAATATTTATTACTTTTTCTGGGTTTAGAAAATGTATGTCAAATCGCATTTATTTCGAATAATAGTAGGGCATGGCGCGTAATGTCGGAAACAAGGTAGGCCTGAAGCGCAAGCCATAAGAAAGTGTGCGTGTGCCACCTCTCGTTTAGTCCTTGGAATGTCCGCTGAATGGCGGTGCTTCTATACGGTGAATATATGATGAAAAGATGCGAGATAGTGATTCTTGGAGTGTTGAATAGATGGACGAACGGACACACAGACAGATGCATGGAATGACGCATGAATGAACGCATGGGCGGATGCATGGACGAACGCATGGACGAACGCACGAACAGATGCACGCACGGACGGGTGGATGGACGCATGGACGGTCACACAGACGGACGCATTGAAGGAAGGAAGCAAGAATGAATGGATGGACGAACGTTTTTCCCCACTCTCCATCATTCACTCCGCGAATATGCTGCCAATTTTTTTAGGATCAAAAGTGAACGTTTACACACCTGTAACACATAAAAGGGCAATACATCAGACGCGCTGTCCATTAGTTTGCGTTGGTGCCTACTTAAGAAACAGTGGACATGGATGGCGTGGCTAGCGTGTCTTCTACCAAACAGCCACGTTTCTTCTTGTGAATACCGTTTAAAGTACCTCGTCTGCTTGGAAATGCAGTGAATCACACGCATCCTGTATACACATGCAACCTGTATGCATGGTCCCACGCCCACAATTCATTTTATCACAATAACTTCGCGCATCTGCTATACTGGGCGACAAATTTTCTTGGCACTGGAGAAAAGGCTATGGGGCCGAATAGCGTACATCCTACGACCAGTGAGTATCATTCTACAACAGCGCCCATGTTTTCAACGTAAATATAGAAGTTCTTTTTTTTGCTTTCTAAGTGGAGCTATTTGAGACAGGACTCAGCTCAGACAATTAGGATACTCATGTATTTTCTGTAATATATTCGTCGTGGCTTCACATTTTTGAACTCGCTAGAAAGTCCCCTTTTTTCGTGTACCTGAAACGCTAAATGGCGTCGGCGTCTACATAAAACGCTGTAGTGCACCCCCACCACTTTCTAGTGTTACCAGACGCGCGCCAAAGTAGACTACTTCACGTGTGTACAGAAGTTCCACCCCCGTAGCTTTCCCTTCAGTGCCAGAAAAAGTTGCCGCCAAGTATATTCAACTTCCAGGTACCGCGGCGTGGCTGTGCGGTGGCAGCCGGAAGCTCTGTTGAGACAATTGAAGCTTTGAACCTGCTTGAAACATCAGACAGTGCTTCTTGTTTTCACGCTTTGTGGTCGTTTTAGAGGCGAAGCTCCTTATAGCGGCCCATGAAGTCCCCACATGGGCGGAGCCACTGGGCTGGCCCTTGTAAGAAGTGCCCAGTCCACTTCAGGACATTTAATAAAGTTAATTCTCTCTCTCTCCTTATAGCAGCACCTGTTCGTCTCTCGTAGCTGTAGTAGTGTGTACCAAGTATAACATTTTGACCTTCATGTTGATGCCGGTGAGATATTTCTTCTGAGCGTTGTTGCACAATAAAAGATAGCGTTCAATGTACTTGCCAATGGCTGCTAAGGGGGAATAAGAGACAGGATATTTCGGCTTTTAGTTAATGCGCACGCTGCCAATTTTTTATTGCTCAACATTGCACAGAAGAGAAGAAAGGGTTGCTGCGTTATACTCGCTGGGCGTAATCTCCTAGGTTTTAGAAAGGTTTAGCAAGCGTTGGGCCGCAGCGCCATAAATACAGTGGAACTAGTTGGCACCATGAACTCGAGGTTGTTAAACGTGGGAAGTAGACACGAAGCGCAAGCCGTAAGAAAGTGTGCGTGTGCCTCCTCTCGTTCAGTCCTTGGAACGTCCGCTGGATGGCGGTGCTTCTATATGATGAATATATGATAAAAAGATGTGAGATGGTGGTACATGGAGTGTTGAATAGGTGGACGAACGGACACGCAGACAGATGCACGGACGGACGCACGGATTGCTGCACGGTCGGATGGACGCATGGACGGACGCAGGAGCGGATGCATGGACAAAAGCAGGGACGGATGCACAGATGAACGTGCGGATGCACGCACGGACGGGCGGATGGACGCACTGGCTGCCACACAGACGCACGCATGGATGGATGGAAGCAAGAACGAATGGACGGACGGATGCTTCGCCCCACTATCCATCATTCACTCCGTGAATATGCTGCCATTTTTTTTCTATGTTGTGAACGGTCGCGATAGTACCATAGCTTTTAGAGTTTCTCAAGTTATATGGAAAATAGAAAAACAAATTGCCAGCCGATTTCACCGCG